CCCTATACCTATTGTCAGGAGATGGAAGAGGCCTAGGACTTGCATCTCCCACAGGGCAAGGAGACAACCGAGTAAGGAAGGCCTTGTGTAACACGCAGGGTGCGCTTTACTCTGCGAGCGCGCGGAAGGACCGACACACAGTACTGGCAGGCTGAAGGGCTGAGTTGACAACAGTCAACTAAGACGTAGACATCATTTTACCCGCAAGTCTCAAATAGCCACAGTGCAGTTCTGATCATGGAAGATTATGCTTCTGAACTCGAACAAACTGACGATCCAAGCAGATGGCCCAATTTTTCTGGACTTGTCCACACCAACAATCAGTAAGCTGTAACATGCCATCAGGCAATTTCCTATTCCTAGTGATGAACAAGATTTTACAGTAACTGCTTTCGTTAACTCCTGATGGGTTTACTGCAGTAAGTTCACTTCAGAGTGTCAACAATCTCGAGAAAACAGCACCAGCAATTGCTTAAATCTGCCAGAACTGCGAAAAAACTGCTGCGTTTTACAAGCCTCTCGGGAGACGAGCGGAGGCAGGCTGCAGCCTCCCCGCAAGCAGAGGGAAGCGGGAGGAGGCCCAGCAGCAGAGCTGCCAGATCAGCTTCCCGCCACACTGCAGCATCCTGCCTCTTCCAAGCAAACCCCCAACCTACCGCGGGGACAGCCGCCTGTCACCTTAACTGCTGCCTCTCATCCTAAACGCAGCACCAAGAAAATTCAGTAAAGAACACTTCTGCGATGGCTGCCATGTTACGCAGTTACAGCCTAAAGCCACTGTCTGAAAACACGAGGCAACCTGAAGTTAAAATACATCAATCCGGTGCTACCAAGTCAACTCCTACAATCAAAACTTGTTAGAATAAGCAAGTCCGTGAGTAATATCTGGCCCGATAAATGATGGTTTTCTCTCAGCTGCAAACATCAGCATCATTTTGTAACTGCACTACTTTCTTTCTGGTATCTGCCATCTGTGCTACACTATTTAATAATAAAACAGCTGACCTATGGGCTCAAAAGA